ATCCAACTAAACGCTGGGTTTGGGGGGCCGAAGGCCCCCCAAACGCCCCGAATCAACCCACCTCAGCTACATCAAGGCACAGTATCCAACTAAACGCTGGGTTTGGGGGGCCGAAGGCCCCCCAAACGCCCAGAATCAACCCACCTCAGCTACATCAAGGCACAGTATCCAACTAAACGTTGGGTTTGGGGTCCGAAGGCTCCCCAAACGCCCCGAATCAACCCACCTCAGCTACCTAAAGGCACAGTATCCGTCTAAACGCTGGGTTTGGGGGCCGAAGGCCCCCCAAACGCCCCGAATCAACCCACCTCAGCTACTTAAAAACAGTATCCGTCTAAACGTTGGGTTTGGGGGGCCGAAGGCCCCCCAAACGCCCCGAATCAACCCGCCTCAGCTACTTAAAGGCACAGTATCCGTCTAAACGGTGGGTTTGGGGGGCCGAAGGCCCCCCAAACGCCCCGACTCAACCCACAAAAGCTACCTATAGGCAAAGTATCCTCATAAACGCTGGGTTTGGGGGGCCGAAGGCCCCCCAAACGCCCCGAGTCAACCCGCCTCAGCTACTTAAAGGCACAGTATCAGTCTAAACGTTGGGTTTGGGGGGCCGAAGGCCCCCCAAACGCCCCGAATCAACCCACCAAATCTACCTAAAGGCAAATTATCCACCTAAACGATGGGTTTGGGGGGCCGAAGGCCCCCCAAACGCCCCGACTCAACCCACAAAAGCTACCTAAAGGCAAAGTATCCGTCTAAACGCTGGGTTTGGGGGCCGAAGGCCCCCCAAACGCCCCGAATCAACCCACCTCAGCTACTTAAAAACAGTATCCGTCTAAACGTTGGGTTTGGGGGGCCGAAGGCCCCCCAAACGCCCCGAGTCAACCCACCTCAGCTACCTAAAGGCACAGTATCCGTCTAAACGCTGGGTTTGGGGGCCGAAGGCCCCCCAAACGCCCCGAATCAACCCACCTCAGCTACTTAAAAACAGTATCCGTCTAAACGTTGGGTTTGGGGGGCCGAAGGCCCCCCAAACGCCCCGAATCAACCCGCCTCAGCTACTTAAAGGCACAGTATCCGTCTAAACGGTGGGTTTGGGGGGCCGAAGGCCCCCCAAACGCCCCGACTCAACCCACAAAAGCTACCTATAGGCAAAGTATCCTCATAAACGCTGGGTTTGGGGGGCCGAAGGCCCCCCAAACGCCCCGAATCAACCCGCCTCAGCTACTTAAAGGCACAGTATCCGTCTAAACGGTGGGTTTGGGGGGCCGAAGGCCCCCCAAACGCCCCGACTCAACCCACAAAAGCTACCTATAGGCAAAGTATCCTCATAAACGCTGGGTTTGGGGGGCCGAAGGCCCCCCAAACGCCCCGAGTCAACCCGCCTCAGCTACTTAAAGGCACAGTATCCGTCTAAACGCTGGGTTTGGGGGGCCGAAGGCCCCCCAAACGCCCCGACTCAACCCACAAAAGCTACCTATAGGCAAAGTATCCTCATAAACGCTGGGTTTGGGGGCCGAAGGCCCCCCAAACGCCCCGAATCAACCCACCTCAGCTACTTAAAAACAGTATCCGTCTAAACGTTGGGTTTGGGGGGCCGAAGGCCCCCCAAACGCCCCGAGTCAACCCACCTCAGCTACCTAAAGGCACAGTATCCGTCTAAACGCTGGGTTTGGGGGCCGAAGGCCCCCCAAACGCCCCGAATCAACCCACCTCAGCTACTTAAAAACAGTATCCGTCTAAACGTTGGGTTTGGGGGGCCGAAGGCCCCCCAAACGCCCCGAATCAACCCGCCTCAGCTACTTAAAGGCACAGTATCCGTCTAAACGGTGGTTTGGGGGGCCGAAGGCCCCCCAAACGCCCCGACTCAACCCACAAAAGCTACCTATAGGCAAAGTATCCTCATAAACGCTGGGTTTGGGGGGCCGAAGGCCCCCCAAACGCCCCGAATCAACCCGCCTCAGCTACTTAAAGGCACAGTATCCGTCTAAACGGTGGGTTTGGGGGGCCGAAGGCCCCCCAAACGCCCCGACTCAACCCACAAAAGCTACCTATAGGCAAAGTATCCTCATAAACGCTGGGTTTGGGGGGCCGAAGGCCCCCCAAACGCCCCGAGTCAACCCGCCTCAGCTACTTAAAGGCACAGTATCCGTCTAAACGCTGGGTTTGGGGGCCGAAGGCCCCCCAAACGCCCCGAATCAACCCACCTCAGCTACTTAAAAACAGTATCCGTCTAAACGTTGGGTTTGGGGGGCCGAAGGCCCCCCAAACGCCCCGAATCAACCCACCACAGCTACCAAAAGGCACAGTATCCAACTAAATGCTGGGTTTGGGGGGCCGAAGGCCCCCCCAAACGCCCCGAGTCAACCCACCAAAGCTACCTATAGGCAAAGTATCCTCATAAACGCTGGGTTTGGGGGGCCGAAGGCCCCCCAAACGCCCCGAGTGAACCTACCACAGCTACCTAAAGGCAAAGTATCCTCCTAAACGTTGGGTTTGGGGGGCCGAAGGCCCCCAAAATGCAAAGCAAAAAATTTAAATATCTTTAACGTAAATCGCCAAGCAAAAAACTAATCTAGCGTCCTTTTAAAGCCGCAGGCTTTCCACGCGCGTCCCTGGACGCGCCCCCAAACGATTCTCATCGGTCCAGAAATGTAGCCAAACGCTCCCCCCAGCGTAACCAAACCCAAAAGCTACACGTCCATTCAGCTACTCACCCTGCAGCTAGTTATATAATATAAAATCCAGAGCCCAATTAAATTTAAAAACTAATATCGGCCGGCCGAAGGCCGGCCGCTTCCCCGAAGCTTGACATTCTGGGGGCAACTTTTTACGGCGCATTCAGGAAAATTATAGCTGTGGCGCCACAACTTTTCCTTTGCGCCGAAACGACCCCACTAAAATTTTTATCTCGTGAACCGTAAGTCGGAGCAGAAAAAGTCTGCTGGGAGGCACGCGCGCCACGATTAGTAGATATGATTTAAAAAAAAAATTTCGAAATTCGGTGAAGTCTAAATACCGAAGTGCCTGTTCATTGGTTTTTATTTGGTCCGAAAACCAATTAATTGGTTTTTCGATTTTCTATATTTCGTGAACGGCTGGGCGGATTTGGATGGGACCTGGGGGATATTAGGTAAGTGGCTATGGGGAATTTTTTGGGATTGGCCATTTCGGCGCCGCACTTGAGTGCGGCGCCGAAATGGCCGATTCAAAAATTCAACGCGTTATAACGCGTTTTTGAGAAGTGGGGGGTCTTGGGGCCTGGGAGCGATGTTGGAGGGTTGGATGTTGGGAAGTTATAAATAAGCGGACACTAGAGTCTCGGGTGAACTTTTGGGGGTCATTTGGTCCAAAGTGTCAGAGTCGAAAAGTCGACTTTTTGTAAAGTGAATTGAAACTCGATTTCAATAGCCAGATCGAAAGAGCGTCCCCTGGCGGTCAGAAAAAGGTATAATATGTTGGGGGTCCACTTGAGTCTCAAAAAGTTATAGGCGTTGTGGCAAAATGTCGTGAAACTTTATGAGACTCTATCGTCCCGGAGAAATTTTTTAAAATTTTTCTGACGCCGGATTCGTACTCAGCGCATGTCAGAGTACCATATAAGTCGAATTTTGTGTCAAAATTCGAAAATTTTGTCCCCTCCCTCAGAACCAAAGGGGTACCCCTTTTGGGAAAAATTCGGGATTTTTTGGGGGACCTTAACTTTTTGTGGGATTATCGGATTGGGTTGGGGTTTCTTTCTAAAAATAGTCTTAAAAATTAGGTATTTTTTGACTGAAGAAAATTTCGAAAAAATTCGAAATTGGGGGTGTAGGGGTCGAATTTCGAAAACCCGAAAATTTTTCGGTTTTTCGAAAAAAATTCGGGTTTTTTGCCGGCGGTTCGACCCGAAAGTATTTTTCCTGGATAGAGCAGAATTTTCTGCATATTATAGGATTTTAAAACTATTAAAAAAGGTTAACTTTAAGAAAGTTATGATTTTTTGAAAATTTGGTCGATTTTTTCGGCCAAAATTTTCGGCCAAAAAAATATTTTTTTAAAAATTGGTATAAATGGGGCAAATGATATATCATTCGAAAGCCCTTAATGCCCCAAGTCTAAAAATATTTTTTCCGAAATTTTCTGACCATTTGGCAAAAGTTACAAAAGGTCGAAATTTGGGGGTGGGCGGTAGCATACCCAGTGGGGGTACCAAAGGAGTGGTAATTAATTAAAAAGACTTACGTTATATTGTAGAGCAACCTCAAATCCATCGAAAAATATATACTCTGTTTGGAGGGTCACTTGAGTCTGAACAAATTATGGCGGTCAGAGTTTTAAGTTGTGGGGGTTTTGGGGGCCGAAGGCCCCAAAACCGAGGCCGAAGGCCGAGGGGGGATCTAAACGCCGCGTTTGGGGGGCCGAAGGCCCCCCAAACGCCACGAGTCAACCCACCAAAGCTACCTAAAGGCAAAGTATCCGTCTAAACGCAGCGTTTGGGGGGCCGAAGGCCCCCCTAACGCCCCGAGTCAACCCACCAAAGCTACTTAAAGGCAAAGCATCCGTCTAAACGGTGGGTTTGGGGGGCCGGAGGCCCCCCAAACGCCCCGAGTCAACCCACCAAAGCTACTTAAAGGCAAAGTATCCGTCTAAACGGTGGGTTTGGGGGGCCGGAGGCCCCCCAAACGCCCCGAGTCAACCCACCAAAGCTACCAAAAGGCAAAGTATCCTCCTAAACGTTGGGTTTGGGGGGCCGAAGGCCCCCAAAACGCCCCGAGTAAACGCACCACAGCTATCAAAAGGCAAAGTATCCTCCTAAACGCTGCGTTTGGGGGGCCGAAGGCCCCCCAAACGCCCCGAGTCAACCCACCAAAGCTACTAACCGGTGGGTTTTGGGGGCCGAAGGCCCCCCAAACGCCCCGAGTCAACCCATCAAAGCTATCTCAACGCAAAGTATCCGTCTAACCGGTGCCACAACCCACCAAAGCTACCAAAAGCCAAAGTATCCGTCTAACCGGTGAGTTTGGGGGGCCGAAGGCCCCAAAACGCCCCGAGACAACCCATCAAAGCTACCTCAATGCAAAGTATCCGTATAACCGGTGGGTTTGCGGGCCGAAGGCCCCCAAAATGCAAAGCAAAGAATTTAAATATATTTAACGTAAATCGCCAAGCAAGAAACAAATCTAGCGTCCTTTTAAAGCCGCAGGCTTTCCACGCGCGTCCCTGGACGCGCCCCCAAACGATTCTCACCGGTCCAGAAATGTAACCAAACGCTCCCCCCAGCGTAACCAAACCCAAAAGCTACACGTCCATTCAGCTACTCACCCTTCAGCTAGTTTCAAAGACAAAAAACTACAATTTAAAAAAATTTTCACACATTAGCCCCTCCCCCGAAAAAATCATGGTTACCGGCCTGTTCTAGGCTTACCTGAAAATTTTTTTAAAAAAATTAAAAAAAAAACAAACCAAATTCATTTACAAATTCTTCAAAATATTTAACGACATTAATTGTATTTAAACTCAAATTTTTACATCCTTCAATAGGCAAAACACGATAACCATTATTCATTTTTCCATTAATAAATCCGGCAATAATTGATTTTGAAAGAGAAACTTCTTTATTTTCTTCTTCCCCTTCATTTAATTTTTCTAAAGCTTCTTCCCTTAATTTCTTTTCTTTTCTAAATTGATCCTTTGATTTAGAATATCCTATAGTAAATTCACATTTATTTCTATAAGCAGTAATTGATGGTGCTGGCAAAACCTTTAAAAATAAATATTTAATTAAAACCTAGAGAACGAAAAAACATATATTCGATTGAATATTTTTCGAATACTCCGAATTTTTTTTTTCATTTCAGATCTTTTATAATTACAAAAAATTTCAAATCCTTCGAAAAAATCGAATTTATAAAACCAAATAATTTTCGAATTTTCGTATTCGAAGTATTCCCTTGAACTTCGACTTCGATTTTTACAGTCTTCCTATCTCGATAATAAATACTCATTATTGTATTTTGTAATGAAAGCTTATTTGTTAGATAGGTATTGCCTTTTTCGTAAATTGAGGGTATTAGATATATTTTAAAAGTGATCCGAAACAGTCAATAAAACTCGAAAATTTCGTCAGATTACATTTTAAGAGAAAAATAAAAGATTAAATTTTACGAAAAATTCAAAAAGCTTAAAGGAGCTTTAAAAAAACGTAAGCCTCAACTAGAAGGTTTCGGTTCTAAAAGTGGTCGTATCCAAACCCCAAACTATTTAAATTTTTACTAAAATCACTCACTTAATTTTCAAAACAAAATTAAAAAAAACCTTTTGTAAAACATTATAACAAAAAGTATCATAAACATTAGCATAATTTAATTTCCTGATTATATAAAGCATTATGTCATGTGACAAATTAAATTTAAATTCAAGTTGTTCTTCATAAGGCATATTAGCAAGAGGAGTAACCATGTCCGAGGCAGTTTTAAAGGTGTTTGCGTGTTTGACAGGCTTGAAAAGTAAGAAATTTAGTTTGGGTTAAAATTTAAATTTTGGTATTTTTAGCTAGTTGAAAAATTGAAAAAAAATTACTAAAATTTATTAGGTTTTAGAATGAATGGAAGATTGGTCTTGGAAGGAAGTTTCTGCCTTTTGGAAAGAATATTTGTGGACCAAAAAATTAAATATATAGAATAGCAATAGTCAATAACTAATGGAGAATTAACCAACATTTTACTATAAGATTTTGTCAGAAAATAGATGTGTGTTCTAGCTATGTCCGCGACTCCAAGCCCCCAAGTTTTGGAAAATTTCTAGTCTCGGACTTATTAATTTTTCCAATTCCCCAAGAGTCCAAAAAGAAAAAAATTTCTCAATTAAGGTTGGTAGATCATAGGCAACAGCCTCCCCCGCAAATTCATCCGGTATCGGCATCAGACCCCGAAAATTACGGAAGCTATAATTCAATTATAGTAATATTAACAAAAATTTTCAAATTGCCCAAGACATAAAAAAGAAAAAAATTCTCAATTATGGTTCGTGGACCATAGACAATCCCCACTCATAAATTCCTCCGGTACCGGCTCCAAACTCAAAAACATCGGAAGCAAATTCAATTAATAAAAATTTAAATTTTAAAACCTTCTTTTCTTCCTTTTCACCCTTTTTAACAATCACTTCAGCATTAACATTCTCTTTCTTAAATATTGAATTATTCAAAATTTTGGCAGATTCAATAGCATCTTCTTCAGACGCAAGATTGAAGAAAGTCACATGTCCATTATATTTAAGTTTACTAAATCCCATTTTGCCCAAATTGCTGAAAAAATTAAATAATTTAATTTTAATTAAAAAATTCCTTACTTTTTAACAAATTTATTAATATCAGCAAAACCCATATATTTTGGTAAATTTGTCAGTTTTACTCGATAAACTTGTTTGTTTTCTTCCATATTTTCTTTTAAAAATTAAAATCTTTAACTGAAATAAATTAAAAAATTAAAAAAATATTTAATTGAAAAACATTTTAAAAAATAAATTAAAAAAACATTTTAATTAAATAAAAATTATTTTTATTTTATTCAAGTAAAATTTAATGTAATTTATTTATATAGGCAATTTTTGAATAAATGGGAAATTTTATTTATTTGAACTTCTTTAAGTAATTATATAGAACAATTTAAAATTAAAAATTGAAACAAAATACTCAGGGGCGTGCAAAGAAAGTATTTTGATGGTCTAAAAAAAAAGTATTTTGATGGTCCTTTTAAATTTTCCCCATTTCTATTTCAAGACTAGAGTTAATCGAACAAATCGACAAATCGAAAATATTCTCGACACATACACCTTTTCCTGACCCACAGATTTTCAAAATCCCCATCAGGGATCGCGTCGACAGAAAACCAAATTCCCGGTTTTTGGAATCGTGAAACGGACCGGCGAGATCCAAAATCCCCATCTTTACTAAATATTTTAAAAAATATATAATTGAGCATGTTCTATATTTCCATAAAAAATATTTAAATGACATATATTTTAAGGTATATTTTTAAAATTTACTTTTAAATTTTTTGTTGATACTTTTGAGAATCAGAAAAAGAACACTTTTTTCTTTTAATTATTTTTATAAACATAGGCATTCATTTATTCTTCTTTCATTTACTTCTCTTCCTCTTAATTTTTTATTTAACTTCTTCCTTCTCCTCCCCCTTTTCTTTAACTTCATTTTGTTTATTTTCTGAGGTATTTTCAATTTTATTATTTTCAACGTCATTCGATTTAATTTCAATTTCTTCAGTTTCGTTGCTATCTGTTGGCAAAAATTCTTTTGTTTCCTAAAAAAATAAAATAAATTTTTTTCCCTAAAAATTAAAAAAAAACCTCCATAAAAGCTTGGAGAGCTCTCGACTTGCAAAGCGTCTAAAAATTGTTCAAAAATTTTTTTAAGTAAAAAAACCCCCTAAAAACCCAAAAAAACCTCATTATTCAAAACAAATTGCAAAAAATTGTCTATAGCATTCCTCCTTTCTGTCACCGTCTCTGGACTTGCTGTTCCAAAAAATTTGGGTTCGGCAAAGGATGGAAATTTGTCTTTTAGATAAAGCTAAAAATTAAAAGAAAAATTGTTTTAAAAAAATTTTTTATAAAAAATAACATTGCGATGAATCATTGCAAGTGTAGAGTAAAGACGGCTGATAACTTTAAAACGTGTTGACATGTTAAAAATACGAGGTTCATTATCTATTGCATTATGTGGTGAAGCCTAAGTGGAAATTTAAAAAATTATATTTAATAAAATTATTTGTGAATCACTAGGAACTCATTTTTTAAACGCTGAAATTGTAAAGGGGAATGAATTCCTGGACTGGACCTCGTCCTGAGTTTGTTAAATTTTCCATTTCATGCCCAAACCTATTGACTTCCCAATCCATATTTAAAAATATTTTTATATTAAATTACCCATAAAAAATCAAAGAAGCCCATATACGTTAAATTAGGATTTGAGACAAGAAATCAAGAAAGAAGTTATTAATTTCGAGAGTTCCTAAATACAACCCATTCCCATAGTTTCCCCCAATTTACGAATCAGGTTCGTAAACTTTAAAAGAAACCTTCAATTCCAATTTATATTCAACATGCCCAAATAGACTGCTCGTTGGAAGTATTACATCAACTACTTTTGTAGAAAACCCATAAATTTTTCTCTCCGTATACAATAAAGTACCCAGAGTTGACCTAAATTTAGAAAAAAATATTCCAAAAAAAAATTTTTTTAATTAAAAAAAATTAAATTACTTGCATTCCGTCTCATCTTGAACAAGTGAAGACATGACTAATTGAAAGTTTAGAAAATAATTTTTTTAATTTACAAAATATTTAAAAGTTAAAATAAGCTTTAGAAAATAAATAAAAATAATAACCGGCATTTTTATCAACAAACAATAATATTAAGAAAAAATTAACAATAAGGCAAGAAATCAATTATTTAAGTATCATTTTGCACAAAAAGACAAAAAATAATATTTTTGAACAATGAGATTATTTTGATAATTTTGAGATATTTTTGGGGAAGTAGAGAGATCTTTTATAAACAATTTTGATGAACAAACAGAATAAAGAAAAAAATCAAGAAAGAAAATTGGGGGAGGTTAAGCAAAAGATAATTTTCTTTTTAGAAATTGTTAAACAGAGAAAGTTGTCTAAGTGGAAAATTTTTTGTTTTATCGTGTAGAGGGTTTCCAAAATGGATTGACTCGGACCTAAATGTTTGTCCCGAAAAAGACTCGTACCGGCCTGACTCGATAAAAACAAGCCCGGAAAAATGCCTCCGACCGCTGGTCCGACTAGAAAACGGCTACCCTAATCGTGAAGAGACCATTTTTGGGCATAATTTGTCTGTAAAAATTATTTGTTAAAGGGCCTGGTCAAAATGGTCAAAGGTTATTCGAATAAGTTATTTAAAATGTTAATAATCTCGATCTATTAAAAAAATTTTTTTTACTATTTTTAACACAAATTTCTCTGTTTAATAAAACGTCCAACACAAAAGAACAAATATAAAAACAATATGTTTTCGTTTTTAAGAGGTCAAAAGAAGAAAAGTATTTCTAGTAAATTTAAAAGACACAAACCTACAACACAAAATCAACGCTTAAAACGTTTCAGGATTGGATAAACCTTTAAAATTATTTTTTAAATAATTAAAAAAAAATACTTGAGAAAAAGCTTCATCAATATGCTCCCTTTTTCTTGCCCCAGTAATGACCACTTTGCCGCTGAGAAAAATAAGCAAAACAACACGAGGCTAAATAAACAAAAAAAATTGATTTAATTTGTGTAAAAATAAATTATATTATTGTCACAGAAATTTTTGGGAATTTTGAATTTTGGTGGTTATTAGCTCCTCAATTAAGTTATATTGCCTCAAGGGTGGCCCTTTCCAAATCACCAAAAGATGGCATGGCCTCCCAAAAAGGGGACAAAAAGGGGCGAGGTCAAAAAGGTGGCAAATTCCTCCCAAATGAGGCAAAAGGACCACCCTGATTGCCTTTGGAAATTAATATATTTACAAATTAAAAAAGGGTAGAATCAGAAGAGAAACTTCAGATTTCCCAAAAAATGTTCGAAGCTCTTTAGGTTTTAAAGAGAAAAATTTCAAAAAATAAGAATTCTTACAAACCTTAACCATTCTATAAATAAGTCCTGGAAACAATTCTGGCTCATAAGTACTGAATTGATAATGAGTTATAGCAAAACCTAAATAGAGGAAAATAAAAATAAATACAAAATTGGGTGTTTAAGAAATAAGGAAAAAATTTAAAAAATTTCAGATAGAAAAATAAAGAGAAAGAAAAACTTAAAAGGAAGCTACCTAAAGAATTTTTCTTTAATAATTAATGTAGTTTTTTTTAATAATTCAAGTTTTAATTTTTTGAAATTAAAACGTTGTCGCCAAATACATAGCTAAATAAATATAAATAAGTAGGCGTTTAATATCTAATTTTTTTTAATTTTTATGGAGAAATGTTGTTTTACAACAGAGAAGTTTTTATGGAGGTAGTTAGCAAGTTTTTAGACGGATTAAAAAATAGTAGAAATTTAAATATTGCAGAAATTTGGTGAGGATCGAAGAACACAAGCAGAAGAAAGTTTACGATGAAGAAAGAATGCAGGACGAAGTTGAAGACCTCACAAATTAACTAAATTATCATCTGCTTTTCACTAAATCGTTATAGGGCTTTTTCCCATAGTCTCACATCAGAATAAGAAAAAATGTTGAGCAACCGAAGTCTGTGAGACATTCATTTAAAATAGAGAAGAGAAAACAAACAAGGCTCCCCACCCGCTAGTTAAATATGCTGCCTGATTTTTACAATCAAAAACAACCCTTTCTGAATTTTTAATAATTTAAAAATTTATAAAATATATTTTTCCTCTTTTAATTTTAAATCAAATTAAAAATTAAAAACCTTCCAATTGAAGACGAAATTTACAATCACAAGAAGCCACCAAATTTTGAACTTTAAATTCATTAAATTGAACATTATATCCCAGACGTTGAATAATTCGAGCAAAACGTCTAGCTGCTAAACGACTAGCCTCTTCTGATTTAGCGCCAGTACAGACAATTTTTCCTAAAAAAATTTTTATTTTCTCTAATAATTAAAAAAAACCATTATTAAAAATAAGAGCAGTTGAACGAGGATCTCGAATACGCATAATTACAGCAGAAAATCGTTTAGGATTGTATTCGGAATTGAGCGCTGTTTTTGCAATTTGATTAAGATCAAGGCGTACATCTAAAAAATGCTTAATTTTTTGATATTTAAAAGGTCTCCTTGTCTAAATATTTGTCAAAGAAAATCAACATTAAGTAGAAATAGAAAAAATTTGCTTAAGATTCTAAAAGGCTAGATTTAAAAAAATCAAAAGTCAAAATAAAGGCACTATGAAGAGGTAAATAATCCGTGAGTGAAGCAAATAATGTGATAGAAAATAAACAAAAGCCGTAATGGCAACCCCACAAAAGCCGCCGAAATGGCAAACCAGGGAAATGGCGCCGTAATGCCAACTCCTCAAAAGTTTTGTTGAAGATTGGCTTCATACCGAATAAAGAGATAAAAAATTAAAGTGGGGTTGTCTTAGTCGGCAAAACGAGCGTTTGTGATTCCAAAATAAAGGTAATCCTACAATTAAACAATTCCTAATTCCATCAGAGAACCCATCCCCTTAAAATTAGTAAATTAAAAAAGAAACCAAGATTAACGGTAGAAACAATATTCTGCAAGACAGGTTTAGGCATTTCCGAAGAGCAAATATTCGAAGAAATTGAAACTGTTGGAATTCGCGAAATAGAATCGGTGAGCGTAGTTGCCCGACTTGAAGAACGTTTTGCCCGAATAAATTTTCTTGGTGTAACTATTGGAATATTTTTAAGATCAAAATTAACTTCTGGTGTAGCTGAACGACTATAAAAAATTATTTAAAAAAATTCTATTTTCAAAATTAACCTAATAGACGAACCAATAGCTGGCAGCAAAACATCAGAGCAACTTGAAGGCAGATAATCCTTTAAATCAAAAAAATTTTTAATTTATTTAAAATAAAAAAACCGTTTTATGAAATTCATCCTCGCTTATCAAAGCATGAACACGTTGCATTTAAAAAAATATTTTTTTGTTAAACTAATAGTAGAAGTTAAATAGCTAAATTAGGGAAAAAAAATTTATTAGAATTTATTTTAAAAGTATGTCGATAAAAAACGATTTAAAAGAAATAAAAAAGACTTGTTTTTTAATTTTATTATTTTTTAGTATTTATAAATACATATTACAAAATAAACTCAGAATATTATATTAGTCAAATAATTAGTAAAGAATTGGGTATTTGTGAGTTATCCCTGACCAGTTTTTGCAGACTCACATTTTTTGAGGACTCAGTTTTTGCGGACATATTTTGCGTTTTTGCGGACTCTCTTGATTACAGAATGATAGAAGAAGAGTGAAATTGAGGAATAAATACTGGTCATTCTGTCCATCAAGTGAGTCCGCAAAAACTGGTTAGAGATAACTCACAAGTACCACGAATTGAGACAAAAATTATATTTTGGTTAATTTACAACAGCCAGAAAAAACTTCTGTTACTAAAATAAAATTATTTAGGTTAAATAAGGAAGAATATTAAAATTAAAAAAACTTATTAGATTAAAGAAAACCCCTAAAACAAAGTTTAAATTGTTAGAAAATCCCTTCTCTTTTGTTTGCCTCTATTCTTTCCTTTAATTCGTTTCGAAACTGCGCACGAACCTCGTCTTCAGGTGACCAATTTGGTAGCAAAGAATGACACTCGAATTCACAAGCACTAAGAGGAACTGGCTTTTCCTCTTCTAGAAAATAAAAAATTGAGTAATCGTTAAAAGAAAATCAGGATCTAATGTCTGGGACACGCCCAAGTAGGCGCGAGGCCATAACGTCGCAAAGCGATAACTTGCTGGAAAATTTCTGGTCCTTAACACTTTTGGTACCAATCACTAGCTCGACGAGAGAAATCGTTTAATACTAGATTTGGTAAGATTCGAAAATCTTGAAGCAGTTATAGCTTTGCGCCGTTATGGCCTTGCGCCTACTTGGGCTGTACCCCTAATGCCTTACGGGTTTAAATTATAATTAGATCATTATAAGTAAACTTCAGTCAACCTGTACTCAAAATTAGATGTCAAATAAGTTAGTAAGTTGTTTCTTTGGAGGAATTAGAACCTTATAATTGCTAAAATTCCGAAAATCCCCAAAAAATTATTTTGTATGACACTAACCAATAAAAACAAAAAAAAACAAAAGCTAGATAAAAGCAAAAAACAAACCCATAAAAGAAGTATAATTTGACAAATCAAACTGATCCGAAGACTTAAAATTATATCCCAACTTTGGAACCATCCAAATAACAAACGCAAATCCTTGAGAATATTCGTCTACTATCAATTGAATTATTTGGGCGAAATAATCCTCTCCATCTGTAGAATCTGTGATGCGGACAATATCGCCTAAAATTGGTAAAATTTCTGAAGAATAAAAAATAAAACCTCTTTGAAAGTTTTTGTAACCAATACGAACATGTTTTCGAGTATAAACTCTTGATAATCTCGAGGAATTACATCTGAAAAATGGTGTTTGAGGTTTACGACGATGTTTCATGTTTAAGAAGCGAATTTACTTATTACAAACAACCACTTGGGGATGTTACGAAAACAAAAATAAAATGGGGAAAGAATGGACAAAATGTCAACTTGAGTAAAAATGAGTAAAACGCCAAATGTAAAAACATCAATCATCCGACAACTAACAATAAATCGAGAAATACCTAACGACTGAAACTTCAAAACAACGTAAAAAACAAAAATAACGTCAATATGCTTGAAAAACCCCGTCTTATCAATTGAAACTTAACCTAGTCCACCTCTAATATGTACAAATCTAAACAATAAAAGTATGCAAAACAAAATATTGAGTTTTTATAAGACAAAAATAAAAAACAAAAGCAATTAAAGTTTTTATCAAAGAAAAAATAAAAATAGTCAATGTCTCGTTCCACTCATTAAATTTGTGGCCCTAAAGAGGGCCGTTTGGGTTTGTTTGTTGTTTGGCGTTGTTGTGCCAATCATTTTGACGAAGTGTACTTCGTCACCGCCTTGGTTCCTTCCGAAACGGCGTGCTTAGCAAGCTCGCCAGGCAGGATCAGACGAACAGCAGTTTGCACTTCCCGCGAAGAGATGGTAGAGCGCTTGTTGTAGTGCGCAAGTCGTGAAGCCTCAGCAGCAATTCGCTCGAACACGTCGTTGACGAACCTTAAAACAAAAATGTGAATTTGAAAGTAAAAACAAAATTATTACGAGTTCATTATGCTCATCGCTTTTGAGGAGATTCCAGTGTCCGGATGGACTTGTTTCAAAACTCGGTAGATGTAGACCGAGTAAGACTCCTTTCGCGACTTCTTTCTCTTCTTGTCTCCAGTGCGCACAGCTTTCGTTGACTTGACAGCTTTCTTCGCTCCTTTACCAGAAGGTTTTGGAGGTGCCATTAAAGATTTTAGCTTGATGTAGTCTTGAACGTTGTTTTTAAAGCGGTTGGAAAATGAAGAAGAATGGTCAATATAAGACTTTTATACAAAGCGAAAATTGTCTGCCCGCCCAAAGTTAGAGAGAAAAAAGCGTGTCTTTAATGTCTACTTTATTAAATGAATATAGAAAATAAAAAGGTAGAGTATAAATAAAAATAAGAGAGTACGAGACAAAAATGCAAGCTCTATTTCTCTTTTTCTCTAATTACTCTCAGGCTCCGGTACAAAATATGGAATCGTTAAAATATGGAATGGTTAAAATCGCGAATAGGCTAAAAAGGGGTTAAAATACCGAATCGTTAAAATATGGAATCGTTAAAATATCGAATCGGGTAAAAAAGGGTTAAAATATGGAATCGTAAAAATATGGAATGGTAAAAATGTCGACACGGCCAAAATGGGTCAAAATGTCGAATTCTTTTAAAAACGGGTCAGATTTGTGCCATACGTTGATTGTTGATAATTTTATCAACATCAGTTTATTGATGATAAGTTGATTGATAAGTTTGGTAAGTCGTAGTCCGTCGTAATCTTTTCTGTCTGAGTTCACTGTACTTTACCGAGTAAAACCGGACCGGATAAATCAAGCATAATCGACCGGATCCGGTCCGGCATGATCGTACGGATCCGGAAAACATAACGCGATCCTGATATGGAAAAATTAGAGTGGTATGCATTAGTTTTTAGTTAAGACCTAAAGTTTGACCTTACCGTATACGGTACGGAATACCGAAAAATAACGGTCAGCTTTTAAATTTTATCGGTCGGCATTCCGTACCGTACAACCGACACGGAATACCGAAAAATACCGTCGGTATTACGGTAACGCCCGGATTCAAGGTTTTGGCGCATCTTTAAAAAAATTCGACATTTTGACCTATTTTGGCCGTGTCGACATTTTATCAATTCGATATTTTAACGATTCCATATTTTAACCCTTTTTTAGCCGATTCGATATTTTTACCATTCCATATTTTAACGATTCCACATTTTAACCCCTTTTTAGCCTATTCGCGATTTTAACCCATTTTTACCCGATTCGAGATTTTAACCCTTTTTTAGCCTATTCCATATTTTAACGATTCGATATTTTGTCCGGACACGTACTCTCATACAAACACGTGTTCTTTTTTATTATTTTATTCTCTTTTTCATACAAAGTATACGCCCATTAAAAACCCAAGCGACTCTTCAAATATAAAAGTAGAAAAACAACGGCATTCTCCACAGTTTTCTGTACAACATTTCACTGCTTAAAATCTTAACGCTTAATAACAACAAAAAATGTCAGGACGAGGAAAAGGAGGAAAGGGACTTGGAAAAGGAGGCGCAAAGCGTCACCGAAAAGTCTTGCGGGATAACATCCAAGGAATTACCAAACCGGCAATTCGTCGATTGGCACGTCGTGGTGGAGTGAAACGTATTTCCGGACTCATTTACGAGGAGACTCGAGGTGTTCTGAAAGTCTTCCTTGAAAATGTGATCCGCGACGCGGTAAGATTTTTAAGAAAAATTTTTTGATTTTAACTTTTTAATTTCCCAGGTAACTTATTGCGAACACGCCAAGAGAAAGACGGTCACAGCCATGGACGTCGTCTATGCGCTGAAGCGCCAAGGACGTACTCTTTACGGATTTGGTGGCTAAAGAACTTTTGGTGGAAGGCAGCTGAAGTGCAACAAACAAACCCAAACGGCCCTCTTTAGGGCCACAAATCTAATGAGTGAAACGAGACATTGACTATGTATTTGAATTTTGTATAAATTTATTTTTCCTTTTTTGCTTTACCTCAAATAAAATTTTTGGTTTTTACGAGATAATTTTAGAAAACCAATTTTCGTTAGCTGGAGAATGAAATAGCCTTTGACGTTTAAAGCAGGGCTCGGATCGACAAAATGCTCATCAAAAGTACAAAAATCATGATTTTAAAGTACATAGGGACAAAATTTCCAAATTTAAAGTATACTCAAAATTAAATTAGAAAATATTTATCCGTGCTCAAATGTTTTATATTTCTCTCCTAAATGAATCTTTTCTAATAAGTTCTTGTTTCCACTGAGCATTTTGTGGATATCAATGCATGACATGTCAAAATTCGCTGACACAAGAAGTAAAGCCCTAACAGTCTTTTTGCGCCGCAGGCGAAAATTTTGAGAATTTTAGAGGTCCTTAAGCCAGATTTCTTCCATTTTTGCGCCGCAGGCGAAAATTTTTTGAAACTTGGAACCCAAGAAGCCAGATTTCTTCCTTTTTCAGTGCCGCAGGCGAAAATTTTTTGAAACTTGGAACCCAAGAAGCCAGATTTCTTCCTTTTTCAGTGCCGCAGGCGAAAATTTTTTGAAACTTGGAACCCAAGAAGCCAGATTTCTTCCTTTTTCAGTGCCGCAGGCGAAAATTTTTTGAAACTTGGAACCCAAGAAGCCAGATTTCTTCCTTTTTCAGTGCCGCAGGCGAAAATTTTTTGAAACTTGGAACCCAAGAAGCCAGATTTCTTCCTTTTTCAGCGCCGCAGGCAAAAATTTTTTGAAATTTGGAGCCCAAGAAGCCAGATTTTTTCCTTTTTCAGCGCCGCAGGCGAAAATTTTGAGAATTTCGAAGGCCGTAGGCCAAAAAAATTCACTTTTTTGCCCAATCCCTTCCCCAATTTCATTTTCAATCTAAAATGTTGATTTTAAAGTACATACTTTCAATAAAGTACAAATTCAATTTCGTAAGTACGGAGGTCGATTTTAAAGTATTGTACTTTCAAATAAAGTACGAATCCGAGCCCTGGTTTAAAGTGTCTATTTTGATGTCTACTTTCTTTTTAGGTTTATGATAAAACTCAAACTTTGATCCCGTTGCGACGTGTTCTTGTTTATCTTTCAATGGTTTATAATTTTTTTTCTATCGTTATTTTCCATCTTTAAAAAAGTAACTAAACAGCACGTCTTGTTTCTAATACAGTTTTTTCCGCTTTTTCTTTTTCGGCTAGCCTTCAACAATTTTAAGACAATTCAAACAATTTGGTTTGGTTTCTGAATCATTAGGAATGAGTGAAGTGAATGAGGTGTTACTACAAGGGGTAGATATGAGGAAAACATCGCAGAGACTAAGAGAAGATCCTCTAAATATCGATATCCTTTTCAAATCACCTGATATCCTTCATAAAATTATTTTTTTACCCATTACTTTACAATTCCTCTTATTAACTCATCAACCATTTTTTATTCACATTTGATTTTTATATGGCTGGGGTTTTTATCTTGTGCTGTTGACAATGTTCTCCCTTGTCTCATTGAAAATAAAACACCATTGTTTAATTCACTTTTGGAATGTTTTTTGTTCTTTTATGCTTTTTCGATGAGAAAAAAACAAAAATTGGCGGGCAAAAACAAAACAGCTTGGCTTGGGTTTTTATACAATTTTTGCGCTATGAGCGCAATCCTCAACCTGCTTGAGAATGGAAAATTTAACAAGGCCGTAACATAAACTAGATTAACGAACAATTCCAAACTTGTATCACAACTTTTTGGCTTGTACGTAAAAATTTGGAATAAAAGAAAAGTAGAATAACAGACACAGTTTCGATGAAAAGTGTAAGTCGTTATGTATGTATCTTTTACTCCAATGCTGTTGGGTCCTGGTCTGAACAAATAGCCGTAAGGTAGAATGGTCGGCCGGTGGTTTGCCCTGACTCCAAGTATCACACTATAAATATTCAATATCTGGGAAGTTGCTCAAAAAGTTGCAAAAAAATAATAGAAAATTTATACGATTTTTAAATATGTATTTTGCATTTAATAATTTTCCTGTTCTAAAAAAACCAATTTGTCAAAGCTAACAACTAGAACAAAATTTAGAGTTTCCCAGCTCTCGTGTAATTTTCTTAAAACAGAAAAAACAAAAACTAACAAGTTGGCAGAATTCAATTCGAATGATTCATTCTCAAAAAAGAAGACAAATTATTAATAAAAAGATAAAAAATGCCAAATTTTAAATAAATTACTCCAAAAATTAATAAAATGCAAAAATTTACACAAAAAAAACACAAAATAGTAAATGTCTCGTTTCACTTATTACATTTGTGGCCCTAAAGAGGGCCGTTTGGGTTTGTTTGTTGAAGCCACAGCAATTCCTTCAAGCAGTCTCGCCTGCAGTCTTCTTCGGCAACAGAACGGCGTGGATGTTTGGAAGCACTCCGCCTTGCGCGATGGTCACGCCAGAGAGCAACTAAGAAATTAAAAGAATGAAAACTTGAAATTGAACAAGAATTCCAAACCTTGTTAAGTTCCTCATCATTTCGCACGGCAAGTTGCAAGTGCCGTGGATTGATTCGGGTCTTCTT